AAACTTGTTCATTGATTTAGCCGAGAGTATTGCCGGTAGTCTTAATGTTACCAACTGCTATGTGTGTGGAGGTACTAACATGGGAGACCAATGGCCTTGGGAAGCAAAGGAGGTAATGTCCGGTTCTGAGGCAGTTGACCAATTAATATCTACACAAGCCGACTATCATATGAGTGTTAGAGGTAAATCTGAGTGGAGATTGAAGACCTCCATCATAGGTTATGTTTGCATAGCGAGGAAAGGAATGATGTATAATACTTCTGTAGGAGAATTAACTTGTCTAGGGCAAAAAGCTTATGATGATGATACAAAGAATACAACTTGGTGGTCGGCTTCAAATGTCTCAGAACCATCTAACCCGTTTGCAAGATATGCCAATTTAAAGGACGTATGGTTTGATCTATCCATCACATCTAACTGGAGAGCCCCAGCGAATTTGTACTGGATCTGTGGTAAGAAGGCCTATTCGGAGTTACCACAGGACTGGGAAGGGGCATGTGTGTTGGGTATGTTAAAACCATCCTTCTTCTTGTTGCCTATTGAAACAGGTGAGACTTTAGGTGTTAAAGTGTATGATGTGAATCATAGGAAGAAAAGGGGACCCATAGAGATAGGTGCCTGGGAAGATAATGAATGGCCTCCCCAGCGTATTATAGATTATTATGGGCCAGCCACGTGGGCAGAGGATGGTACCTTTGGTTATAGAACCCCTATTTATATGCTCAACCGCATTATAAGGTTACAGGCGGTGGTTGAGATCATTACTAACGAGACATCACAAGCGCTCAATCTTCTAGCGAAGCATAATACCAGGATGAGGACAGCAGTTTACCAAAATAGATTAGCCTTGGATTATCTTTTGGCAGTAGAGGGAGGTGTATGTGGGAAGTTTAACCTGAGCAATTGCTGTCTTCAAATAGATGACGAAGGGCAAGCAATAGCTGAGCTTACTAGCCATATGGTTAAACTAGCGCATGTGCCTACTCAGGTATGGAAAGGGTACAATCCAAGTAGTTGGTTTGGTAGCTGGTATGAGTGGTTTGGAGGGCTTAAGGCAGTGGTAGGTGGAGTCCTACTGATTTTAATGTTGTGTCTACTCCTGCCGTGTCTTATACCCTTAGTAGTTAGGTCTGTGCAAAGCCTGATAGAAAATATAGCAGAGAGGAAGGCTGCTGCACAGATAATGGCAATTTATAAATATAAGGCTCTAGATCAGGGAGAACCAATGCAGGAAGACGAGTGTTGAAGATTCACATCGTAGGATAAGTCTGGTCTGGTTCAAAGGTAACTTGTGGTGTATGCAAACCAAGGTTAAGTGATGCCTCAAGTAATTGTAAAATATCAAGAGGCATCAAAGGGGGGAATGTGGTGGAATCTCGGTAAAAATAAATTTAGTAGGCCGAGATTACCACGTGGCATGTGTACGTGCATATGCTGACGTATCGATCAGTTGGTTGCACGAGGCAAGATACGATCAGTAGTGTACGGAGCATGTGCAAGAATACAGGATGTAGTATTCCCCTCCTCCATTGTGCTGGACAAGCCATGTGGTCAAGCAGGAAGTTAATTCTTATTTGTAATGATTGGTCAAGAGAATGTGCGGGTGGAGCTTAATATGGGAGGAGTTATGTGCCTATATAGGGAGCCTGCACTATTGTTCAGGGCTCAGAACTTGCTGTATTTTTGGTGACATTAGTCCCTCTGAGTCCCGATCGGTGATCCAATAAAGAATCTCTTCCTTCCTGAAGAAACCTGTGTCCATCCCTCTGTGCTTTGCTTCCGTCAGTTTCTCCGGTATCAGCTCCACTAATATATTTTTTGGTGTGTTTGATTTTGTTGTGGGGGTTAAGGGGATCCCTCACATAAATGTTGTGCCAACCCTATCCATTGTATTTTTTTGTACTCCCTCTTTGTACTGGAATTATAATTCAGATATGTCTCTGGGAAGATGAACACAGAGAGTGCAAAGATGTTCAAAAGACATCAGATGTCGATGGAGAGTTTCCTGTCGGGTATAAAGAGAGTGGATAAACCTGTGTTGCAGTTGTAGGAAATAGAACTGAATCAAGATTGTGGGATTAGACTGGCCTGTGAGGCCATAGAGTTGCACCTAGAGGAGGGTGTAGGGTAGCTTCCCCGTGGATCACCCCCTTCTCCAGCCACAGGCCCTATGGTGTTAGTTTAGAGGGACAGCCAATGCCTGCATGGTTAAAATTCATGCCAGTCTATTAAGCAAAGTAGATGAGCTGCCTTTAGTTTATAATGGCAATGAAAGACCTCCGCCCTCTTTGAATTTTGAGAGGCTTTTTCTTAGCTGAAACGTACCACATGATTGAGAAGTTAAATGCTTGGGAAAAGACCTTGTGAAATCTTAATTCGGTATTCTTATGCATAATATATGAGAGCCTCAGGAGGATTTCATTATTTTTTTGACATTCTTTATTTTCGTAGTGCATTGCAAGACAGACAGGAAAAATTGAGACATTTCCAATGAGTATAAGTGAAACTTCACAGGTATAGAGTCAGCAAGAAATGCCTTAATACTGCACTATAAGGGAAAAACAAGAAAAAGACATGTCAATACTAAATACACGAACTGACACAGTATCTGACACAGTATGTTTAAAGGACAGTAAATAAGTCAGGATTTTTTAACTGACATTATAAGTAGCAGGATCACCACTGGCTATTAAGAACAGTAAAAAATGCAAATGCAAGACAAAAAACATAACTATAAACATAGAGTTCTTCTGCATTAACTAAGAAAGTGCCCTCGGTACTTAGCGATGTTGTTTGGTTTGTTCATCCTATTCCACAGGCCATAATAGAGGATCCAGCTCCATACCAGGCTCCGCGGTCCCCTCTCTCCACGGCCAGATAAGTAAATATGCGCTGAGTTTCATGGTGCCTGTTTAATTTTCAACTCCATGGATCCGCATGCCTTCAGCCCCAGGCTTTGAAGGGGGACAGTGCCCTATGTCCACAGATCCCACTCTTTCGAGTGGCAGGAACGTGGGTCCACAGGTTCTCCGAGACACGGACGACCCATAGGTTATATGGACGATGGCATGGAAGCAATTTCCAGTAGGCCCCCGAACCAGAAAAGGAACGAAAGGTTAATTCAGTAGCAGGAGTCTTCTGTTCAGTTTGATGAGTAGAAAAAGGTAAGTTTGACATGACCGTGCCATTTTAATGTGCCCAAGCAAGGAGACATGGAGGAAGTCAGTTTGTAGGGTGTGGAGGTAAGACGTTGGTCTGGTATACTATATACTATATACTATAGGCCATCCAGACACCTAGGTGTATCAGCTGCAAAGAACACCAATTGAATGGGAAAGCAACCTGGTCAGAAGATGTTTAGATTTTCAGATTTGTGTAAATTCAACTTGAAGTTTGAGAGGACCTCAAACGTGAAATTACTTGGGAAGGTGTGGGAGAAGCTGGCCAGTCAACAAAAAAGAGCATGTCATATGCATGTGCTGTGACTTTGTGTATGACTCCATGAAATTAAAAGCCAGCAATATTATGATTGGCTCGGACTGCAGTAAGGAAGGGCTCTAGGCATAAGGCAAAAAGGAGGTGTGGCTCTCTTGTGTGCCATTAGTAATGTTCACAGTACCTGATAAGGCCCTGGTTACCCACACCGGCACGTATATAGTTATTGAATAAGTACCCAAAACCCATTCTCTTCCAGACTGTAAATATGAAGGACCAGTCCACCTGATCAAATGCTTCAGGACAGTATTAGCATCTGATTAGCATCTGCCTGTTGCAGAGACAAGACAGATGCAAGGTATAAAATGGACACTCCACTGCCCAAATACGAAAGAAAAAACAAAACACTATTTAGTAGATATATCCCAAATGAAAACATGCATGCTTTTAATTTTTTTCCCACTGGGGGTATATATCAAAACAGATTGCAAAAGCTGTAGATCTCTTGCCTGCTGCCTTTGCCCTTGCTTTATAACCCCGCCAAGACTTTTTGCGACTGTCCAGTCACAGACTTTCCAATGCAGTCTTTACAAGACCAGTGCTCTGGGCAATTTTATTATAGACACGGAGGCTCGTATATGTGCAATCTCTTTCTTATTTATTCCCTCAGCAGCAAGAAAATTTTGAAAGAAATATAAGAGACTTTAACTTAAACATTTAAATCTGCCTAGAAACAGTGGCAGCCAATAATGTCCCAGTGTCCCTCTGGAAAAGGGGCTGTCTTCTGTCACTCTTCCTCTTTCTTGCTGCTCCCTCAGAGTTAAGTACAAAATTTTATTTTCTCATGGCATGTTATATTGATATGTGTTAATTTTTAAAGTTGTTATTCCGTTTCTACGTCTTTTCTGTTCTGTTCGTGGTGTATATCCAGGCCACCCTCACTAGGACACCGGTGGGCTGTAGGGACCCCCTGGGGATTTTTTCCCCATTCCTCTACTCCTGTCCCCCTTACCTCGCGGCTCCCCACCGCATTCAGGAACCGGCGGTTCTCCCTTCCACAGGAGAACCGCCGGGCTTGTGTTCTTAGCCGCAGGAGGTTTTGTCTCCCTCCCTGTGCGGCTGAGTTTCTCCCACACTGCCAGCAGCCGCGAGCGTACCGAGCATAGTGAGGGGAGGAGCAGGATACAGCCGTTGGCGCGCTTTCCTGGTGAAGGCGCGCATAGGCGGGAAACCTCAGTGGGATTTTTCTTGCCTTCGATCGCTGGCTGACGGCTCCAGACTCCTCCGGCGGGGTATACACCACACTAATAGTAATTATATTTCTGCTAAGAGTGATTTAACCGTTTCATCACTGTTTTCACTGTTTAGCTACAATATACAGTTCTATTAATATTGTAGTGTGGGTTAATCAACCCGATTTATTTATTTAGTTCTTTCCCCTGATCAGTTTTTTCTTTAAACAGCCACTTTAGCTATACACCTGACTTTACTAATATGCAGTCCAGGACTGATAATAATGAAGGGTCTGGGTTAACCCCTGTGGACCCATTTCAAATCCCCAATAACGATGATACAGCCATAATGGCCTCTGAAGAATTCCAGAATATACTGGACACTACCATGGCGGCATCTATAAATAAAGCGCTGGCCTCTGCCATGGGGGCTATGTCCGCTTCATTCTCCCAAACTCTCACGCAAGCGCTCTCCCAAACCCATAGCGCACACATGGCTACCTCTGTGGTGCATACCCCACCCGCCACTGCGGACACTGTACCCCGCAAGGCAAAAAATAAAACAAAGCACCTCAGCTCCCACTCCACTGAGAAGGCTATGCCTATTATGAATGATCCGCACTTGGCGAGCAAAGATGGCGCGTTACAGCTGCGCAAAAGAGCCCCTGGCCGGGCAAAAACGGTCAGATTTTGGAAACGGGCACATGCCCTGGAAGATGAGTCGGATTCCGACTGGAGTGAGGAGGACGAGGTCTCCGACACCCCTGACTACGCATCCTATGAGGAGGCGGAGTCTGAGGCGGAGGGACCGGTTTTTGAAGCCCGGGAGGATCTGACCTCCACAGCGCTTGGTTTGGTCGCTACTCCGGAGGACGCGGGTGCGGGACTCCGGGACCCTCAGGGCCAACCCCTGTTCGACCCGGAAGACTTGCGTAACCCGCGTTCTGCGGAGTGGGAACCACCCACACATATAGCCCGTTATCTGGCGTTGCGTATGCGCATGCCCCTATCAAAGGAGGGACGCCAGAAACTCAGAGCGGAATGCCCCCGGCCTATTGTCCCGGATGAGGCCTGTAAAACCCCAGAAGTAGACCCCAAGATTGCCCAATTTTTGGGAAAGTCAGGATGGAAACCTAGAAAGGGCCTGGAGTTTGCTCTAAAAAACTGCCAAGACAAGCTCTTAGAAACAACTGGCCCAGCGACTAAGCTCTATGAATTGTTAGAATCCGCTAAGGCGGGGGAATCTGCCATGGACTTCGACGTGGCTATAGGATGGGTTCAGCGCCTGATCTGCCTGTTGGGTAACGCCAACACGGCCATGGCGACTGAACGCCGTAGGGCAATACTATTAAAAATGGACCCTAAGTTGATATCTATGGCGGTTACTGAGCCTGGCCCGGCTGCAAAGGGCATGTTATTTGGAGACTCGTTTGTACGAGATCTGGGTACATATGTTAAAACGTTTACAGCTATCGATAAGGCACAAGCCAATCTAAAGAGGGTGTTCGCACCCAAGGTTTTTGGAGGGGCCGGGAGATCCAGGAGCCGTCCACCCGGCTGAGGCTTCAGGGGTCAATCTAGAGCCCCCAGAGGTTCCCACCAATTCCCAAGATATACACCAGAATACAGGCCATCCCCGTTCTTCCCATCCAGAGGAAGACCATGGCAGCCACGGATATCGAGGGGAGCTGCATCGGGACGACGGCCCTATGGTAAGTGTAATTGTTCTTCCTTCCCCCCAGGTAAAGGTGGGTGGAAGATTGGCCAGTTTTCTCCACATATGGCACCTGATTACATCAGACCAGTGGGTTCTTCAGACAGTACAAGGTTACCATTTAGACCTAGTAACCACTCCCATACAGCCCATGGCCCAAAGAGAGCTATCACTCCCCCACGATCAGGCCTTACTGATTACCCTGGAGATTTCAGAGTTAGTCTCAAAAAATGCGATCCAGGAGATCCCATTACGCCAACGGGGATTCACGAGCACTCTTTTCCTAGTGCCAAAGAAAGGAGGCGGAGTACGCCCAGTGATAAATCTTCGCCAACTGAATGCGTTCATCCAATACAGACATTTCAAAATGGAGGGCATTCACTGCCTCAGGGATCTACTTCTACCAGCGGATTGGATGGATCAAGTTAGACCTGCGAGACGCATACCTGACAATTCCCATTGCAGAAGACTGCAGAGATTTTTTACAGTTTACATGACAAGGAAGGAAATGGCGTTTCAAATGCCTCCCATTCGGCCTCTCTTCGGCACCACGGTGCTTCACCAAAGTGATGAAGCCGGTGATAGCATTTCTCAGATCACGAGGGGTCAGACTCATCATATACCTGGACGACATCCTCCTTCTCGCCAGCTCACCAGCCCTATTGCTTACCCATTTGGAGTGGTCACTGCATCTCCTGCAGAACTTAGGCTTCCTTATCAATTGGGAGAAGTCGATCTTAGAACCAACACAAGACATAGAATTTTTAGGATTCCAAATCAATTCCATTCACCAGACCCTCTGCCTTCCGGAAGACAAGATCAAGACCATAAAAAAGGAAATCAGACGAATCTTACGAGCTCCAGACTTATCAATCAGACAACTGGCTCGAATCATAGGCCTGCTTGCCTCATCCATCCAGGCAATATTTCCAGGTCCATTACACTACCGGGCACTGCAAAGACTCAAGGGCTCCTATCTCCGTACTGGCCACACATACGAAACGCGTCTCACTCTCGACACAGAGTCCAGAGGGGAACTAGTTTGGTGGCTCGCCCACATGGAAGCCTGGAATGGCAGGGCTATATTCGGAGCAACACCAGACTTGATTATAGAGTCGGACGCCAGCTCATATGGCTGGGGCGCACGCTGTGGAGATATTTCTACCAGGGGCAGATGGTCAGAACAAGAAACATATCTCCACATCAACTGCTTAGAACTCTTGGCAGGGTCATTCGCCATCCGCAGCCTTACACCCACCATCATTACTTGCTGTGTCCTACTCAAAATGGACAATGTGTCAGCGGTGAGATACATAAACCACCTAGGGGGCACGAAGTCAAAGATATTGGCCCTCCTCGCCAATGAATTTTGGCACGTCTGTCTCTACAACAATATTTCCGTGATTGCGGAGCACATCCCAGGACTGGACAACTCCACGGCGGATTGGAACTCCAGATACCTCAGGGACTCGGGAGATTGCCGGATTTACTGACCGACCCGGACGGGAACTCGCACGACTTAGCGAACAGAGGTCTGTTACACCTCATAGCTTGGCTCCTTTCAGGGGACCCTGGAACATCCCTGACGTTCCACAGTCAACTCTCAGACTTTTGGCAGAAGCGTGGGCACCAGGCACTAGGAACGCCTACCAATCAGCATGGAGAGAGTGGTCTAGCTGGTGCCTGGCAAGGGAAGTGGATCCCTTATCAGCCCCTCTGAGTAAGGTTTTACACTTCCTCACATCTATGTTTGAAGCAGGAAAAGCTTATCGTACGATCAACGTGTACAGATCTGCGATAGCAGCAGGCCATCAGGGATTTACAGGTAATACGGCAGGAGACCACCCCTTAACCTGCCGACTCATGAAAGGGATTAAACTGTTGAGACCTCCAACAGCCAGGTATTCGGCCTTCTGGGATGTCAACATAGTCCTCAATTTCTTGAATTCGTGGCCGACAAATCAAGAGCTCTCACTTCAACAACTTTCCGCAAAATTACTCATCCTCCTTTGTTTAATTGCATGTAAACGGGTTTCCGATGTCAGGGCCCTAGATTGGAATGCCACGGCCTTTCAATCGGGCGGAGTGACTTTCGACATTTCACGAAGAACCAAGATCTCAACTAAACGAGTATTCTATCCAGCTTTCCCTAGCAAACCTAATCTGTGCCCAGTATTAGGGCTGAGGGCATATCTGGACTACACGGCCCCCCTTCGGTCTCCACAGGAAGGAGCATTATTTATCTCCCTTCGGAAACCACACCTACCAGTCTCATCTCCTACTTTAGCACGCTGGGCAAGATGGATACTCGCTAAGGCAGGAATTGATGTATCAAAATTTTCACCTCATTCAGTACGGGGGGCGATGGCTTCCAAAGCTTCAACGATAGGTTGCCGTTTAGAAGATATCCTTAAAGCGGCCGACTGGTCTAATGAGTCTACGTTTAGGGATTTTTATTGTCGCCCTATCGAACATTTCTCTTCAAGGATTATGGATCAGCTTTAAACTTGCACATATACGAGCCTCCGTGTCTATAATAAAATTCCAGGATTTTACTATTTACATGACGTAAAGTCATGATTTTATTAAAGACACGGAGGCGAGTATAATTCCCTCCCGCCCATCCGCGTCATGAGATACAATTATATATGGACGATATAGGATCTACGGTAAGGCTCATATGACATGATTCAATTGTTTCATAAGTTTAGTCGTTAAGATAAAGATAAAGAGGTTTGATTAAATTGGAATGCTTGAACTGGGATTATACTATGATAAGGTATACAAACAGTTGGGAGATAAGATTTTACCACGCATTTGTTTGTCGTTACAGCCTAAAGTGAGAATACGGATGATATCGGCGTCAACGGATTGGAAGTTACTAGCTGTTAATTAGTTCTATGGAAGGTCGCAGACAGAAAGAGGAAGAGTGACAGAAGACAGCCCCTTTTCCAGAGGGACACTGGGACATTATTGGCTGCCACTGTTTCTAGGCAGATTTAAATGTTTAAGTTAAAGTCTCTTATATTTCTCTCAAAATTTTCTTGCTGCTGAGGGAATAAATAAGAAAGAGATTGCACATATACGAGCCTCCGTGTCTTTAATAAAATCATGACTTTACGTCATGTAAATAGTAAAATCCTGGAATTGCTGTCTATTGAGTTTAGCTCTACTGAGCTAACCAAACCAGCAAGTAACAGAACCCCCAGCCAGGAGGTGAAACAAGGTTCTACTGTAATCTGTACTTTCTGCACAATGAAAAAATGCACTCTTCACACATAAAGCATTTTTGCAAGCTAAAGTGATTTAGGGGTCTGGAGTTTGTCTTTGAAAAGCTGTATATTGTTGCTCTTCCCAGCCAAGAATCGTGATTGACTCATATGGACTAGTTGGAGGATCCTTTCAGTGATCTAACAAAGAGCTTAACGTACGCATTCATTGGAGAAAGACCAAAACCTATAGCTTGCACAAAGACCCAGGTCCTTTGCCTTATTTCAGGAGAACTGTAATGTGGGCTGCCAGGGTGTCCCTAGGAAGGGAACTCCCAGATATTACAGTAAATACGTTACAATTAACAGTTAAATGCCTTTGTAAGATGAGGTGAGAGAGGGGGGGCACGTTTTTGTAATGACCCCAGGTGAAGACTGCCTGGGTCAGGGTCTAATCCTGTGTTTTCAGGCACTTAATAGCATCTTGGTGTTCTTCTACAGTAGTAGGAGTCTTTATAAACTCCGCCACCTCTGCAGTGAAGGTTCTAGTTATCGTCCCCTAGGGGTAGTCACATATTTTAGCTTGCTTGGACAGATTATTTCTGGAAGGCCTTTGGTAGACAGTTTACAGAGGGAAAAAATAATATTACAGGAGTGATGAGTATTTTTTTGTGAGTGGGAGAAAGTGCTTTTCTCCAATTCCACAACATTTGGGCCAACTCTCATTTGGGTGCTCCTAAAAATAAAATCCCAAATTATTGAAGGTCACCATTCATTTTAGAAGAAAAAAGGGGGAAAGATTCTCCTGGCTCAAAGCAGCTGGAGATAGACAAAGTCAGATTGTTTACTTTCGAAGTCTACAATCTCGGCAACCAGGTATTGTACTCACCAAGATAAAAGTTTTCTGTGGACACCAAATTGGATGAAGTAACCTCATACTGAACATTTGTAGACTTCCCATACTATGGAAGGGGGAGCATCTGGGAGCGTTTTTTTAGCGAAGAAGGAGCACATGGTAGAGTCAGTCTGAAGAATACTCAAGGTCAGACAAAATTCTTATGAATTTACTAAGTTTTCAAAATTTGCTTTGTCATGAATCAGATTAACCACTTAAGGACACATGACGGAAATATTCCGTCATGATTCCCTTTTATTCCAGAAGTTGTGTCCTTAAGGGGTTAATGTTAAAAAATAAATAAAAAAATTTAAATAATAAATGAAATCATGATAAACATGAAAAAAAAAATGAAGGTTTTGAATACTTCTCTGAATGTACTGTGTATGACATGCAGTTGCTGTAGCAACTAAAGAACGTTAATATAAACAAAGCTCCTTGGCCTAACGGTATCCATCCACGTGTACTTAAGGAACTAAGTGTAAAAATAAGTGAACCTCTGTTTTTAATCTTTCAAGATTCTTTTCTTTCAGGAAGTGTTCCGGAGGATTGGAGGAAGGCAGATATGGTTCCTATATTCAAAAAGGGTTCACAATCCTTGCCTGGAAATTATAGACCTGTGAGCTTAACTTCTGTGGCTGGTAAAATATTTGAAAGGTTATTAAGGGATAATATTCAAGAATTCCTTGAGAAGAACATGGTTATCAGCAAAAATCAGCATGGTTTTATGAAGCACAGGTCATGTAAAACTAACTTGATTGCGTTCTACGAAGAAGTAAGTAGAAGTATAGATCAGGGTGTTGCAGTGGATGTGATCTATTTGGATTTTGCCAAGGCATTTGATACAGTTCCACACAATAGATTAGTGTTTAACCCCTTAAGGACACATGACATGTGTGACATGTCTTGATTCCCTTTTATTCCAGAAGTTTGGTCCTTAAGGGGTTAAACTCAAGGAAATCGGTCTAGATGAAAATGCTTGTTCTTGGGTAGAACATTGGCTTAAAAACAGAGTACAAAGAGTTGTCATTAATGGTAAATTTTCAAGCTGGACAGAGGTGGCAAGTGGTGTCCCTCAGGGGTCTGTTCTGGGACCCCCTCTATTTAACATGTTTATAAATGATCTTGAAGACCGCATTGAAAGTCATGTTTCAGTGTTTGCAGATGACACAAACCTCTGTAAAATAATACAATGTGAGCAAGATATTACTTTGCTGCAGAGGGATTTAGATAGACTGGGGGATTGGGCACTCAAATGGCAGATGAAATTTAATGTTGAAAAATGCAAAGTTATGCACTTCGGCGTAAAGAATACACAAGCAACTTATACCCTTAATGGAAGCGAATTAGGGATAACAACACATGAAAAGGACTTGGGAATTGTTATAGACAACAAACTATGCAACAATGTGCAATGTCAATCAGCAATGGCCAAGGCCAGTAAGGTATTGTCATGCATGAAAAAGGGCATTCATTCTCGGGACGAGAATATCATTTTGCCTCTTTATAAATTGTTATTTTGTGTAATTTGTACTATAAATATAGTCTGTATGCCAATTAGCTTTTTCTTGATTGAGTCAGGATTGTTGGCTGTTTCACAATTAAATGAAAGTCCATGTTGTTAACTACTTAAGGACGTCTTGGCATTACTTATTGAGTATTGCAGGGATTTAACAGTCAGTGACACGGTGGAACATTGTGCTATTTTAGTGTCAGCAGGGCCAGATCCATGCTAGCATTGGGTAAAACCACAATTTATTCGATAAGAGAGCTTCCCCAAGTCAGCTCGGTCAGATAGCAGCCCCATTACAACTAATTAGATGTAAAAAAAAATATAAGTAGCGTGTTTAAAATTATGCGTTCAACCACATCCTTCATGAGGACATTGCTGACTTTTGCTGTCCCACATAATCCCCCATGGAAAAAATAAAATGAAAAGCGTGCAAAAAGTA